ATTCTGAAGATGGCTTCAAACTTTTGAACTGTAGTTTATATATAAAATAAAGACAAAAAATAAAATTTTACAAAATTTCACATGAATTCAAGTTCCGTTGATTTAATCCGCTAGTCAGATGGTTAATGGTAATGATCATTATTATCTGTTTCCTTATAAAGAAACATTTGGCATTCATTGACTGAGCTGCTAGTAGTACTGTCGATTGAAATTTATAAAATCTTTCTCTTAAAACAATTTTTCAGGAAATTACGTTTTTCAAGTCCAGAAACTATTATCACACATTTGTAATATTGATGGGGGTTTCCTTCCTAACCTTTCTTTAAGGTAGTGTGGAAAGCTATCATCTTGATTATATCATTTTCTCTTCCAGTTACATGTGCTATTCATGTTACCTGTTGAAAGTCCTGATTTGATTTCTGTCATTTGGTACTGTTCTTTGTTTGTGATTCTGTAGCGGCAGTCCACGTGGTCCGAAGAAGAATGGTCCTTTCTAAAACCTGCTGGCTTCACTCGTTCAAAGACATTTTAATCCTTGATCTCAGAAAGCGGCTGTATAGATCAGACAATTTAGATATTTCTGAACGCGTTTCGCGTCATGCCTGACTTCCATGGGAAAGTCTCAATTTGATTAGGCTATTTAAGAAGATCTCAAGTTTTCATATTAATGTTTTGGTTTTGTAGCAATTTATGGTATTGAGAGAAACTACCTATAGCGCAGCCAGTTCTGTGTTCAATTTCCTTATCTCCTATAAAAATGTGCCTCCAATTTTCACTAGTAAATTCACTCAATTATCTCCCTTTCCTTTATCGTCCCCTCTTCCTCTCACGGATTGCTTGCTAGATAGAATTTCTATCACATTGAATTCCCGTCCCATCATCAAAGTTAAGCAAAGTTGAGTCTGATAAGTATTCAGATGGGTGACTGCTGAGGAATACCAGTTGATGTAAACTACACGATATGCCAAGTAAGACGGTGGTGGATACAATCTCGCTACTTATAAATACTAAGAGAAGGCCTCGATATGTGAAGGTGTTTCTGGACTGACAGAACTCAAAACCTACCTGGAGTTTGGTTAGTGATCACTTCTACTTAAGGCCTAAGACCAATATATGTTCAAAGCTGTTTATCACGCCTGGAGAAAACTCAGGGTTTAAACGGTCATAATGAAACGATACTAGGTCTTAAGTTACGAAACAGTTTTTTTTTTTTTTTTTTTTTTCAATTGAGGTTTTTGTGCTAGGCCGGCAGAGAAATTAGTCTCAAGACTCCAGTGGCCTTGGTTTTTTGGAAGTGCATCCATAAACAGTGGTATCAACTGTATCGATTTTTATTAATGATCTGAGAATGTTTTTTGACAGATTGTTATTAAAAAGCAGAAAGGGAAAGTCCGAGTAGAAAGCATTGGTGAACGCCTGTATTGATTTCATGAGTTTCAAAATGCTAGCCATTCACAATAATATACCGAACTGAGAGAAAGTAATTGATGATTGCGTCAATTCTTCCAGAGATTCCATAACTGTAGCATTTTTGTAGTAACTCTCTTTTGTAATTTTGTAATGTCAACGAATACTGTTTGTAGTTATATATATATATATATATATATATATGTATTATTAAAATTGAATATTCACTCATGTTCTCTCTGATGTATGATTCGCGGAGATTGAACGTAATCGTTAAGAGACGATTTTAAAATTTAATTTATTTTCAGAAATGCTGAAATGTTCTTTAAATTATTTCAATTTTACAATCAAGTCTCTTGGTGAGTGGATACAATCTCCACAAAACTCAGAGTTGTAACATGATAAGTAAGCATTTAATTTTATTTATTACTATTAATGTTCTTTCTTTAGATATCGATCACTATAATTTAAAGTGCTTAACTTAAATATGTTATCTTCTAGAAATACTCTGTAAGAGCTTTTTAACACACACACACACATATATATATATATATATATATATATATATATATATATATATATATATCCTATGTGATGAGAACTACAAAAGAGGGCTCGATACCGATAGTAGAGCAATAATTATTTATTTATTATAATTTTATCATATAAACAAAACCATTTTACTCACTACAAAGAAGCAACTTCGTTTCAGTGCATTTCACCTGCACTTCGACGGGTGAGAATCGAAAATCTTTGTGGTGAGTAAAATGGTTTTGTCTATATGATAAAATTATAATAAATAAATTATATATATATATATATATATATGTGTGTGTGTGTGTGTGTGTGTGTGTGTGTGTGTGTGTGTGTGTGTATATATATATATATATAGAGAGAGAGAGAGCGAAAGAAAGAGAGAGACGGGGTGGGAGAGAGAGAGAGATAGAACGATAGACAGACTTAGAAAGGGAATGAGAGTTAATAGTTGTTTATTGAAAACTCATTCAATATAAAAGCAAATAGGTTTAAATATTCCTTTTTCAATTCTTGCCGTATACAGGATGCGACATGTTTTCGAGAACATATATTTCGTAGCGCATAAAAAGCCTAACTTAATTCTTGTTATTTCCCTTTCTACTGGTAGCTTCCAATCTAGCGCTAATAATATGTAGACAAACTATACTTCTAACACTATCCGTCAACCACGCCGATATACAAATGGCTGACTTCTTGAAAATGGTCTCTGGCGAACAAGATGAATAACAGGTTGCTCGGTGGTGACCATGTTAATGCCAACCAAGTTCAGATCGTCTGTGATGTACCTAGGAGTCGTGATCAACGAATGCTATGTAAATGTATTTTCGAGAAAAGCCTCAAGACCAATACATACGACAATATGGATGTGCTGAATTCAGTGGTCATGCCCTGAATCGAATTGGCTGGTGTATGTCTTTCTACAGAACTTTGCTCATTCACTTATAGCCCAAATGCCCCAGGAATGGTTTCACGGTCATGCTACCCTAATAATATGGTCTCTTTGTTTTCCAGATTTTAATCACCTAAGCTACCGTGATTATTAGTATGATTATACACACGCCATCGTCGGTACCCGCTCGAATCTGATCATCGGGATCGTCATCCTCTCTCCTTATCCCCTTTCTCCCTTATGGTAGTGGTGACTGAGATGGCTGTAAAGGACCAGCCTACTCCTGAAGAGTTGTGAGCAGGAGTCTTTGAAGAGTGTGTATGTTTGAGTCCATCCATCATGAAGAGTTTATGCTGTCAGAAGGACTCGACTCACATAATACACACACGTGAATAATATATACCATTAACTTTGGGCAACAAAATTCTGTGAAAAAAAGTCTTATGTATAATACGCATTGATCTTTCAGACATAACAGCTAATATTATAGCATGAATTTAACATTTGTTCAATTTTTATCCATTTCCTATCAACTAAAAATAAACATTTATATCTCTATCTATAAAAGGCAGGATACGTTTGTGTGTGCAACGGCCGCAATTTTCGACGGATTTGCACCAAAATTTACATGCACATGCTCCAAGTTAGCGGCAAGGCCAAGACCGACTTTGCATTTCCCAACTCCCATCGATAGTGGAAATAATCGATTTTTTTCATGCTTCTACGGCACTTTTCATGTAGTTTGCGGCCATTTTCTACTGGCCAGAGCGAGAGCCTATAGCTGGCTGCCACGAATAGGCAGGAAGATTCTATTGGCCAGCGTGAGAGCCAACAGCTGACTGACACGAATGTTAACTACCATGCTAGCATGCAAAAAAATCGATAGCTGCATTGGTCACAAGTGAGAAAAATTTAAATCTACATGGCACTTTACTACAATTGGCTCATTCGCTTGCTTAAACTCAACGTTCATTCTGATTCCGCAGAACTGGGTTGGGTGTGAAAAAGTATTTGTTGTTAATATTCTTTTTTCATTCGGTTTTACCAGTTATGAGTCCTTTTTTTAAAGCTGATCGTTTTGTGTTCATTTTGTTTAGTTCTTTTTTCGTAACAGATTTAATGTTTAGTGTAGAGCTTAGAAAAAATTCGCAGTGTGAGATAGGCATGAAGTAAGGCATGTAGTAACATCAGCACGGCAAAGGGCACTCCTTTAAAGGCAAGGAAGGGCAAAAATATTTTAAGTCAAGTGATAGCGATTGCTGTATGAGTCGTACGATTTTTGAATCAAGCACGGGCAACGCCGGGCCATGCTGCTAGTAGTTTATATTATGCTGATACAAAATCTTTTATTCATATAAATCATTATTCATTGATCTAAGTATTATCGCTGCTTTTCTATGACCGTATACCTCTATTCAAATAGATTATGTATTCAATCACAAAAGAACCATTCCGATTTTTAATCAACGTATTTTTCAAAGATGTTTTCGATATTTTGAATTCAGTAGAGATGCTGTTCGGCGAATGAACTGATTAAACTGCATGTGTAAGAATGTCTTAATGTCAGCACCAGAAATTGTTTGATGTTCCGACGCACTTGCAACTTGAGGACGTAACGCAAAATTTCCAGCAATCGCAAAAGAAGAAAAATGCAACAAGCTTACGGTGAAAATAAACTCGTTCGATAAACAACAGAATTATAAACAAACACACATTTCAGTAACAGCCGGCAACTTAACATCGTCATATTATCATTCTTTCTAAATTACCGAGCGTTCCTTGCAATAGATATTTGAATTAATTCCATGTTTTACAGAAGGATGCTGAGAATACCATGGACGGAGCATGCAAGCATGCATGAGGAATTTTAAGGATAATGTAAATAAAATATATTTATTGATTCGTTTTCTACGACGTATCAATACTTTGCAGGTTATTTAAAGCCAGAAAATATTTTTAGATTGTAAGAATTCTTTTAAGATAATAACGGTTTTAGTAATAAAAGTCTTACTAATTAACCCACAGCTGGGGGAGAAGAGGTGGATCCATGCCTTTTTCCAAGGGTATTTGCGTGTAAGTGAATATAATGAACTCAACGGGAAATGGAAATCGGCTCTCTAATTAACAATTCCAAGCCATTATCGATCACACCACCCGCATATCCAAGCTTACAGCACCTGATATTCCCAAATGGTCACCCATCTAGGTACTGACCAGGTTCGACGTTGCTTAACTTCAGTGATCGTACGAGAACCGATGTCTCAACGTGATATGGCCGTAAACCGGGATATATCATGGCTGCAGAAAATGTTTTAAGACATTAAAACCTTAACTGAAACTTGTGATTTATGGTTCTGTCAACTCTTCTCCAAGTTGCCGAGAAAACGGTGCCTCATCTAGGTACTGCGCATGCTCGACGTTGCTTAACTTTGGTAATAGTACAGGAACCAATGTTTCAACGTGATGTGGCCGTAAGCTTAAAGAAAATATAGGCATGATTAAAAAGACAAGCATTGCGCAGAGGTACAAGTTATAGGAGGTTGTGGTGAGCAATGATCTCCCACGTCGTCAAGGGATATGGCCCATAGAAGAAAAGTTTTCAGTTACATTCTCACAAGGTTTTTTAAATATTGACGCAGAAATAACTTAATATGGATTTACAAAACAACGAAAAACCTTTATCTTTAGCTTTAATATGAATCTTTTCTTATTGTCCTTAATAAATATATTTTAATTTGACAAACTTTAAGAGATCGACATTTAGCATTTTTTTCCGTCTAATTCAAAACAGTCAGTTATGTGCCATGCGTGATACAGATTCTCGAGGCAGATTTTTCCCGCAGTAGGTTGCCATTTTTTTCTGTAGTAGACCAGTTGCCATCCAAGGCTACAGAACCCGGTCTGTCCTGCTATTTACCCATAGCTGGTGGGGAAGAGGATTCATACCAAGAGTATTAGTATATAAGTGAATGTAATGGATTCGACCGGGATTCGATTGCGGCTCTCCAATTCCTCAGTCCGAGCCGCTACCCATTACTCCACCGTACCTCCTAACTCAAAACATAGTAAGACTATTTACCAAAGTTACTGTTTTTCTACTCCCCCCTCTCTCTCAAGATGCGCATGCGCTGAATAATTTCCTTTGGAAAACGGTTATTATTGTTCTATTTTTTGTTTTGCTTGCTTGAGTTATTAGTGAAGTTTATAACTGGTGAGTAATTGCATAAATAAACAAAAAATACAACGAAAAAAAAAACGCCAGAAACAATTTACATTTCAAGAAGTAATAGAAAGCGAAGCCATTCGGTCTAAAAGTTACGTAGGAAGTTTTATTAAAGTACATTTCCAAAATATTCCGGAGACACTTGCAAAGATATAAGATTGCAGACCGGCATGCTATTTAAATTCCCCTGGGGCGATTTGAATAAATATGTAAAATTTTTTAAGATATCAACAGAGATAAGTGTCATTTAAAATCTCCAAGTTTCTTTTTAATTCAAAACCTATATCTCAGCTATCCACATTAAATGCATTTGCATATACAAAGCGATATGTAAAAAAGAACATTTCTATGCATCAATAAATAAATACAAGATTGCATCAGAAGTCGAAAGAATTTAAAACTGATCCGAATACATACAAGAGTATAAACGTTGCTGACTATAAAACAAAAGGTAGCACGCTCATCTCGCGTGTTAGCTAGTAGATAGGCTTTCCTATCGTCCAGTTCACAAACCTCCCCTTTTATTTATTTTTTTAATAGATATAGAGGTTTAGTCCTTGGTTCCTGCTTAGGATTGGGTTTCCGTTTCCTTCTAAAGTCAACATCAACTGTAAACTTCTAACGTCTCTGTCTAAAACGCTGAACTTTTATTTACTATTTATTTACATTTTTTCCTCAATAGGAGTAGATAGGTTTGTCAATCACCCGCTTCATACTTCTCTCCGGTCTTTAGAACAGGAGTAGAGGTGTTTCCCTTATTTCTGTTTCTTTCTTTACGCTTCTTAATTTATTCTGATATTTTGTGATCTTTTCCCAAAATAACGGCGATTTTTTGGCTATTCGACCATTAGCTGCATGGATATGCCCGCCATCAACTAGGTGAACTTAATTGGTGTGTACACATTACGTATTTGCCAGCTACTCTCATTGTAACATCTTCAGCTTGCCAAGGGTGTATAAAATAACCCTTTCACCGAACAAACAATATATATATTAACTTACTATCAATTCCTTGAATAATAACTGAATAATAAATTAATAATAAATAATTATTATTCAAGGACTTGATAGTAACTTAATGTCTCATTAAGTCTTGTTAGCGAAGTGATTTCGTCATAAATTACATTAATATTGCTATTTGATTCTTTGTATAAATTGTTTCTGTATGATATAAAATATAATCTGCATACTCTAATATATGTGTGTGTGTGTGTGCGCGCGCGCGTGTGTGTGTAAAAGTTCAGATATAAATAAAATACATCTGTAAAAAACAATATAAAATTGAAAAAAAGATTGAAAATTTTTCTTTACCGACCGGTTTCATCCTGTGATAGACTTTCTCAACGCATATACATTTGCCTTGATAAAATTCATCAGAGGACAAAACATATTAGTACAGAAGACGTTTCCTTTTTCTTTATTTCATATATATATATATATATATATATATATATATATAATTTCATCCCAAGCAAGGAAATAAGGTCACTAAGATACAAGGTGTTACTGAGTATGAAAGAATATAAGCAAAAGAAGATTGTTCGGGAGCGAGACCAATAAAAAAAGAATAATCAAGAAGACAGAAAATAACGGTTGATATTTAAATTTTGAAGATCAAAATTTACTGGAAAGCAAGAAGACGGAAGAGATTTCATCAGGCTAGAAGTGCGAGAAAAGAAATTGTTGACATAGAACTTATAGTTGCATCTTAGTAAGTTCAAATGCACAATGATGAGACCTTGTCGCCAATCTAGTACTGAACTCTAATTCTAAAAGTTTAGGTACCATAAAGTTCATCAGAACATTTACTATAAAATTATTTATAGAAAAGGCACATGAAAGATACATTACACGATGGGAAAGTGACTAAATCAGAGATGCCAGGTGATGACCAAGAACATTGCAGGTTCTTTTGGATTTTATCAAGAATCTCTAAATAATATAATTTATATTTTGTTAGTAGTTTATTCAAGGGTACGGGCAAGCTGTTTGTTTTCTTTATTTTTAGTTCTCTTGCCTTTGTACAAGATAACGGATGTTTGCTTCCATTGTGTCTAAAAATATCTGTACGTATGTCACCTCTTGGGCGTAAATGTTCACGTATTACTTTTGAAATTCAATAAAACTTCTGTTGTATTTGATTCTTTCATCCTGGCGTTTGATGTTAAGAATCCTGGAAATGACAATTATGTGGTTAACGCGCTCTGCAACGATGATGTTATCAGAATATCTTCACAAGTAGAATATTTTGGCAATGACGATATAAAAAAAATACAACTCGTTTTCATACTAATTTATGTGTAATGAAGATGAACTCGCTTGCAGGAATTCAAAAAGAGGTAATAAGTTTTTAAATTTTGTTTTGTTTTTTGGTTTTTTTCTCTCTCTTTTTTTCCCTCGGTTATGTTACAATAAGTTCATGCAGAAATTTGTATGCCTAAATCTGTTACTGATTTTAGCGTCGAACCGATCCGTACCCCCAATATTAGTATTTTAGTTTTGTGTCTGCGTAAAAATATACTGCAAGAATGAGATAGACACACCTAGCGAACACATTCTCTCTCTCTCTCTCTCTCTCTCTCTATATATATATATATATATATATATATATATATATATATAGTGATTTTCCAAGCGTAGCTTAGATTGTGGCAATCAGTCGAAACTAGGGGGTACCCAGTGAGGACTGAACTCACTGCTCAATTGTTCTAGCGAGACAAACTTGCTAACCATTGCACTGCCTCGAGATGCATCTCTCTCTCTCTCTCTCTCTCTCTCTCTCTGAAATCTCTCTCTCTCTCTATCTATATATATATATATATATATATATATATATATAGTGGTAGCAAAAAGTATTTAACACATTGGTTTTTCTTATATATCTCAAAAATAACAGATCAATTTCATCGAAACTTATAGGAAATATTTAAATGAACATTGTCGATCAAAACATAGAAGGAAAATTTAAAACCACTGTTTTGAGAAACATTTATTAACAATAAATAAAATAACCCATATGCAAAAGTATTTAACACCAATGCAAATATTATGCTAGAAGAGACGTGTCGTCATGATTCCTACCCATATTGATATGATGTGATATGTCGACCAATGACAGCACTGCATGACGCTCAACTGGCTATTAGATAACAGCTCTGAGACACTGCAGCTATTCTGTTGCCACTACTGCAAGAAAATGGTGAAAACAAAAGAATTGTCGAACGACAAGCGCAAGAAGATCATAAAGAATCACAAATATGGTAAGGGATAGAGAAAAACTGCTTAAGATTTGAATTTGATTGTGAGCACAGTTGGTGCTGTTGTTCGAAAATGGAAAAAATTCGATACTATTGAATACATTCAAAGGAGTGGTCGTCCCTGTATCTTAAATGAGGCTAATGAGCGATACATTTCCCGTACTGTGAAGAAAAATCCATTTTCAACTCGTCGAGAAATTCAGAATGATTTGAAAAATGCCGGAATTGAAGTTAGTAAAGATAAAATTAAAAGATCACTGAATCGTGCAGGTCTCACTTCGAGATCACCGAGAAAGACTCCATTACTGAAACGCCAACATGTACAAGCGCGTTTGAATTTTGTAAAGAAATGTGAAATTGAATCTAATGGTTTCTCGGAGAAAGTAATTTGGTCAGACGAAACGAAAATTGAGGTTTACGGACGAAACATGCGCACTCATGTATGGAGGGGAAAAGGAGCAGAATACGAGCCAGCAAATACCATCCCTACAGTCAAACATAGGGGTGGAAATATTATGATGTGGGGTTGTTTTTTCTCAAATGGAGTAGGAAAAATGAAAATCATCGAAGAAACAATGAATGCTGCAAAATACACTCAAATTTTGTCAAGCCAACTCTTGAAAAGTGCCACATCTTTGGGACATGGTCGTGATTTTGTATTTCAGCAAGACAATGACCCGAAGCATACTGCTAAAACAACTAAGAATTGGTTTAATAATAATGACATTAATGTCCTGGAATGGCCAAGCCAGTCACCGGATTTAAATCCAATCGAAAATTTGTGAAATCTATTGAAGTTAC